GCATTTGCTCGTGACACGGGCCTCGCCCCATCTTGTGGGGGGGGGGGGGGGTCGAGCTATAGCGGCACTCGTCGGCGACGGCGACGATGGCGGCGACGGCGGCGACGCCGGGCGGCGGCGGGGGCGGCGAGCGGCGTCGCGCGGTGCGGTGGCCATTGTTCGAGGCCATTGTGTCGTCGGTGATGCGAAGGGCCGGGACCGGAGGCGGCAAGCCGTCGTCGCCCGGCGCTGCTAGCAGCACTGACCACTGTGCGACGCTGCGCCGACGGAGGAGGGCAGCCTGGCCCTGGTCTGGCTGGCCCTGCTCTTGCCTGTCACCTGTCTGTCTGTCTGTCTGAAGTCTGTCCTTGCTTGGCAAGACTTGAAGGGCCAGGGAGGTTAGAGTGTGCGGCGTTTCGGATATCGGCGCTAGAGGGGGGGGGGGTTGTCAGATGCGATCTACACACGAACCTCTTAGTCTAAGACGGGAGTGCCCGCCGCAGCCCGCCGTGAACTGAAATAGCTTTTCTTCCAAAAGCCTAACAACCACAACCCAAAACGATCCAGCAAACGATCCCGACATCGCGTGCACGCGCCCCCGGCCCACAGGGCGCTTTGTCTCAGGGAGCGGTATAGCACGCACGCTCAGTCTTCGAGGCTTCAGCTTCGCGCAGAGCGGGCGTTCGTGGGAAGGAGAGGGCCGGGAGTTGGATGCGGCGAAGCGCGCAGCTCAGCTGCACAGGACTCTGTGGCTCCATGGGCCACTCACCGAGACGACCGAGCGGTCCGCGTGCTGCTGTGCAGCATGGTCAAGGCCGAGGCATGACGAGACTGCACTTTTGCAACCGCGCCCGTGAGACGCAGCGATCAGCATTGGGGGCAGCGAGATCGAGGCATATTACGTGTATAGCCCGAGCGAGATTAGGCGACGCGCTGCGAAAGCTGCCGCGCCTGGTCAAGTCGAATGCGGTATCCTGACGCAGAGATCGAGAAGCTTCGGGCGGTTGCGGGTTACAAGGCGCAATCGGCGTCGCTCTCTTGCTTGTGGCGACGAGCGTGCAGCAAGGACAGAGCCGCTCCTTCCTGCTGTGGTGCCTGCTGCTGTGCGCGGTGGCGTGGACCGACGCAGGCGTGCATCATGAGCAGGCGGCGGTTCTGGGCACGGACTACCCTCTCTGCCTGCTGCGCTGGCGCCGCTGGCTCCTCTAGCTGGGCCTCCTAACCGGCTCGCTTTCACGCGCCACACACGCATTGCCTCTCCCTCCTCTCTGTACGCCCTGCGCCGCCCGATGGTGCGTCCACGCTGGACTCACTGGCGTGCTCTCGACTAGACGCCAGTGGATCCCGCCAGCTGGCGGGCGCTGGCGGGCGCTGGGTGGGCCGCGGAGCGAGAGTGTGCGGGTGGGAGGTCTCAAAAATGGCGGGATTCCGTCCCGCCTTTTGGGAAATGCACGATTTCTTTTACGAGCGTGATAAACTGCGGCATACAAGGGGGAGGCGTGTGTTTCGTGCGCAGAGCCCAGAGGCGGGCACTCCGCGGGCACTGGTGAACGGCATCCAGGAGCGCGTCACGTTGCTCGAGTGCAAGCTCAACGACATCTTCGCCGTCGGCGGTGCCTAGGCTGCGCCTCCACGCCTCTCTCAAGTCCTATCCCCGCCTCCATGGTCGGAACGGCGACCCTTCTCGAGGCGGCGGCATGTCTCTGAGAACTCTGATGGCGCCCTCCACGGCTCTCGCGCAGAGAAGGGGAATGGAAACACTAAATTCCTGGTCATTCTGTAATACGGGTCAGGACTCGTGTGGGGTCAGAGTCACATATGAACGACCCGAGTTGCTTGGGCGCAGTGGCCCTCGCCCTCTCCCCATCACCACGTGAATGTGAAATGAAACCGGCATCACCCTCGCCCCAAAAACACTTGTTACCAGTTGTTGGCTATCTAGTAGTAGTACTCCCCCCCCCCCCCCTCTTCAAGAGTGCGCCTCACGCCCCTGCGCGCTGTAACACAGGCCCCAGGCCGTCCGTGCATCCGCTCGTCGCTTCACTCCGTCAATGTAGGATCGTACTCACCCCTGCGCCAGGCCCGAGGCGACTACGAATGCATGAGGCAGCACCTCTTGGGTATATGGCGCATGGCGCATGCCGCATGTGGGCCTCACCCTCGTGGGCCTGCCTCGTGGCTTGTGCCCAAAACGCCAAAACGGGGATGGGTGTAAGACATTCTGACATGTTTTGACATGTTTCATCGTAACGCCCTCGCCCTCGCTCGATCGCCCTCCGACCTGCATGCAAGGGCGACGCTCGACGGCCACACTGTCCTGCCCACCGGATCGCGCCTTGAGATCTTCTGCGACCAGGGGAGCGGCGGTACCCTGCGGCCGTCATGGCGCGAGAGAAGGACGGGGCCGGCCGGATCGTGCACGAGGTCGAGACGACGGCTACTCGGATCGGCGGTGACCGCGCAGACGGCCAGCAGGGTACCACCGCTCCCCCGCCGGCTGGTCGGAGAAGGACGGGGCCGGCTGCATGCGAGATGCCTCTTTTTGCAGCAAGATGCCTCATGTTGTGTAGTTGCTTACCCCGCCGGCTTTTTTCGGACTAGGTTTTTGTTTTTTCTGGCACGGCGTTTGGCAGGGAGTGGTATATGATGTGCACTCCACCGGGACCACCGTTCGTCGTCACCCTCAACTGGGGCGGGAACAGCCTCGAGGAGCTGAACCGAATGGACCCCGCTGCGCTCAAGGGAGTACTCGCGAGATTGTTCCCTGTGGTCAAGTCAGAGGAAAAGCAGCCCAACGGCGCCAACAAGAGCAACAAGTATTTCTGCCGGAGCGAGATTCTCTTCGTCATCAAGGATGGCCCCTCGACCCTCGTCTGCGGCGCCGGCGCCGGCAAGCACTGTGGATTCGGTAGCCGTAATACAACTGTGGCCGAACACCGCGCTAATCAGAGGTGCCTGCCGGGTGTCTGCGCCGAGCTCGCGCTGCGCGCTGGCGCGGCGGCCGCAAGCGGCACCGAGGCCTCCCCCCAAGCTGTTACTGTTTGTTACTGTTGTTACTGTTGTTCAGTGGTCAGCAAGCAGAAAATGCCCCAAAACCCGGGTAAAACCCGAAAATACCTGGGTTTTTCCAGGTATTTTCGGGTATTACCCGCACTGGACGCTGGAGATCGTCGTGGGTCACTGCCAGGCCTTCCTTATTGTTGTTCAGCTGGCCTAACGTTAGCTACTGTTGTTGGGGAGCCCCACTGTTGTTCTGTTGTTACTGTTAACACTAGCAACACACTGTTCAGCTCTTAACGTTTGACAGCTCTAGCCGCAC